AGGAATCCCAGCTCGCAGCTCCTCCAGGAGGAGGGGAGGACAGTTGCTCACACTTACCTGTGTTACCAAAATAACAAGGCTTCACCCTGTCCCTAGGGTCGTAGCAGCAGCCTTGAACTTCACAGTCTCCCTGGCTGATAGGCAAGGAGGCACATGGCAGCCGGTCTTGGGTGAGGACAGCAGAACATACACTACTGCTTGGAGCATCCAGGGCTGGAAGAGACAGCAGGAGTTTGCAGCTAAAGCACAAGAGCAGGGGGACAAAGACGCAGAGGACACTGGTGGAAGGTGTCCTAGTGACTCTGCATACAGATCAAGGGAAGTTAGACTCAGCTGAGGATCAAACACATGGCCTGGAGCTGGCATGGAAGCCTGCTCAGAAGGGACATGCATTTCCCTAGAACAGAGACTCCCCCCTGAAGCCATGCACAGGAGACTGGACTACATGGGGTCTGTCAAGATAAAGTGTTCTGGATCACCTCTGGTAGTTAGAATCATTGTACCTAGTGTCTGGCTCAACCCCTGAACTTGCAGGGACTTAGGCAGTCAGAATATGGCTAGGAGACGCAAGGAACATTCACCTGCTGACCCTACAAAGGAGGCACAAGTTGGTAGCTCCTATGTCCAAACCCTTCTCCAGGGAATCTTCTGCACAGCAATAAGTCCCCTTGCCCAGCCCCCAGAGTGACTAGGAAAAGCCATCCAAGAGGAAGGGCACTCATTGCCACAAGGTACAAGCAGGGTTTCCCAAGAAGCTGTCAGTCTTACCAGGAAGGTCCGCAGGGCACCTGAGCAGCTTCTCTTCACGAAGAACCTTTTGTCCAGCAGCATCTGTTCCTTCAAGCCCAACCAGCATGAGGTAATTGCCATCCTGGGGGAGAGCCACACCAGTCAGGGCAGCAGTAGCCCCAGTCCCAGCAGAACCCCTAAGGTCACTCACCCATTCAAAGACATAACAGCCGGTATAGGAGACCGATACTTTCTTGGAGCCATCTGGAGTCCCAGATACTGAGAGCCCACAGTCAGAGTCATTCTGCAGAGCATGTGCCT